TATTAATTTATTTATTTAGGAGGGGTACTGGTGATTGAACCCAGGGGCACTTAACCACTGAGCCACATCTCCAGCCTTTTTGAATATTTTATTTAGAGACAAGGTCTTGCTGAGTTGCTTAGGACCTCTCTAAGTTGCTGGGGCTGGCTTTGAACTTGTAACTCTCCTGCCTCAGTCTCCCAAGCCAGTGGGATTTACAAGCATGTACCACTATGCCAGCTATTTATTTATTTATCTAGGCACTGGGGATTAAACCCAGGGGCACTTAATAACTGAGCAACATTCCCAATCCTTTTTACTTTTTATTTTGAGACAGGTCTCACTAAGTTGCTGAGACTGTCCTCAAACCAATGACCTTGCTGCCTCAGCCTCCCAAGTCGCTGGGATTACAGCATTCTCTACCACATTCTGCAAACCACACTGTTTAAAATCCCATCCCTCACTTCTGATCAACCTTACCTTGCTTTATTTATCCTTCCTTATATAAAAAACTTCCAAGATACTGTGTAATGCACTTATTTATTTTGTTGATTATATTTCTTCCTCCACAAAGGGAGGGGCTTTGCTTGGCTCACTAGTGAATCCCAACTTTGTTTGCTTTTTTCACTAGTATGTCTTCTAGGTATGTGTGCACCTAAAAGCATTCATAGCACACAATATGTGCTCAGTAAATATTTGGTTACTAAGAAAACCTTGTATGTGTGTGTGTGTGTGTGTGTGTGTGTGTGTGTGTGTGTGTGTGTTTGTTTTAACAACCTCTCTGGCTGCTGGGTAGGTAGAGATTGATGGGGGTAGAAGGAGAAGATATAACACTTGGGAATATCTGCAGATGAAAAAATCTCTAACTACTTTGGATTAAACAAATAAGAGCTATTCTTCACTGAGAACATGATGTTCAAAGGTGTGACTTTTAGATCTAGTGTATAAGGGCTAACATCACTATGATTCTAGAGCCTTTTTTTTCATACTTATAAAAGACTGCAGCAACTTCAGCCATTAAAACCACATTCTAACAAGAAGAAGGAGGAAGGCAAATTGACTTTTTTATTAGTTTGGGAAAAGGTAGAGATGGAGAAATACAGTTTTTTACTATATTTTTGTTATGAATGGGGGCTGGTAAAGACAAGGGTGACTACTAGGTTTTTTTTTTTCTTTTTCATGAGAAATCAGGTGACTAGTGGAGCTATTAAGTGTTTCAAAACCAAGGAGAAAGAAATCTAGAGAGAAAAAGTAAATCAAGATCTCTAACATGGACCTATTAAATTGAAGGTGTTCGCTCACAGTCTGAATGTAGATTTCAAGTAGGCAGTTGGATATACAATATACAGTGAAAATGGGAGAGGTTTGGGATGCATATAAACCCTGGAGAGCCATGAGCATATGGAACGGTATTTAAAACCATCATACTGTGCGAGATAACCAGGGAATGGTGATGGTGTCTAAAATTGAGCCACAGATGAAGGGGAGGAGGAGAAAGCAAAGAGGCGGAGAAGTAGAAGGAGGAGAAAAGTCAGGAAAATGCTGTGTTGACCGCAAAGGGAAAACAGGACATTTTAAGAAGAGACTTACTTAACCTTTCAGAATCCCAGTTTTCTCATCTATAAAATGAGATGAACAAGAACTGCTATCTCCTATGATGTTCCTGAGGATGAAATGCAATAACGAATGCAAATGCTGGTGCTGTGACTCATTATGACAAGCACACAATCAATACCTTTCTCCCTCCCTTTGGCTGTGTTACCAGTCCCACGGGGCAGAGAACATTCCAGACAACCTTCTTATATTCCACGAGTCTATGTTGACTCAATATGGTAAATAGCCACTTGTCTGGGAAAATATTTATGCAGAATGAATAGGATAAATATTGATTCTGTTTGATTCTGGTATCCATATAACTCAAGGACAAGAGAGACTAGTACATGAATTTTTAGAAACAGTAAATGTGCTGCTCATATTTTCAAGTTTGAATTAGTAGTGAGTGAATGAACATTTATTCAATGAATAAATGAATGAATGAATCCAATAAAGGCAAATGACATAAGGTCTATTCCAAGGCAGCATTCAATATTTGTAAGTGTATGTGTCTGTTAATTATCTTGAAGTGGTTGGCATAGTTGGTTCCAGAATAGTTTTTTTTCCCCCCAAACTACACACTATTGCCCAGCCAGCAAGGCATCAGAGAAAAACCCATCACCACTACAGGAAACAATAACAACACAACTCAGAGAAAGTGTACTCTACCTTCCAGAGAGTGAATATAGAAGTTACGTCTTCTTTATATATCAAAATCAAGATTGGCTTCTGGGAATGTCTTTGTAAAGGTTTTCCTGCAAGTATATTTGTGGATATGTCTACACATTTGTGAAGCGAGGTGAATTCTTATCTTTGGTAAAGGAGTGCAAAGCCACCCTGAATCCAGGAAATATTTTCCTACTGTGACTAAATGAAAAAACAGAGTGGAAAAATCAAGGGACTAGAATTTGAAGTAAGAACAGTACTGGGGTTTGTTTTATTTATACTGATTCTGAGTTCTTGGAGCCAATTTTTTTTTTTTTTGCTCACCTGTTGGTGGCTCTTTGGTTTTTTTCCTTTGTTATTTCTTTTTCTTTTCAGCTTGCTTTGAAGTCATTCTGGACAAATCCATCCATAGTGATAATCTAATGGAGGATTTAAATATGACCCATGTAAAACTGTTCTGATGGGTACAGTGCTGGGTATCTGAGCACCATTCAGCAACACTTAAATCCCCAACCTCTTTTATCCTTCACTGGTGAGTGGCTTTTGTACAGACTTCAAGGGACCTGGTTGGATGGTTATAGGAACTAATTTAAACTTGTCTTTAAACAACAAGAAATGTATACTGGGTGGAAGAATCTATCTTAGAGCTGCCTACAGCCATTTTTTAAAAATCACTCTTTTATGCAGCATCCCTGGAAAGCCATCCATTTACTCAACAGAGGGAGCAAGGACTCCCGCAAGGAAGCATTTTGTTGCCCACTGACACATATTGGAAGCACTGTTCTGTAGTTCAAAAATCTTCCATCTGTTGCACCCTTTAAATCTTGGCTGGTGAAGACAAGGCCTAACAGATCGCGTTCCCAGAGTTTCGCTGGCAGTACTGATAAAATAAAATGCAGAAGCCAGTAAAATAAAGTCCATATTGCCAGTGCTGGAGTTCAAGAAACCCTGGTCAAAAATTTAATGTTTGTTAAATGGAAAGGGAAATAAGTGTCTATCCTCCAGTGTCCACTAAAAACTTAATGATTTTCCTGGCATGCTTTAAGGAAGGGCAAATCATAGTTTCAAGTTCAATTTCATATGGCCCCTTAAGGAGGGAAACTGAACACAGCAAAGAAAAACCCTGATCGGGAGCAAGATTTTTTCTCTTGGTTCTCCCTTCCAACCCATGCGAACCAGTGGAACAAGATCGGATATGAACAATTGTCTCCTCCGTGCTTTCGGGAAGCACTAGGAGCCTAGATGAATTGTTGAAGGGCAAGAGGCTGGACTTGAGAGTCTAGGCTAAGCACTCGACAGGTGAGGGAGAAGAGACTGGCAGAAGCCATTGTTAACAATGCTAGTGGGCAGCCCACGCTGGAGCTTAGATCCGTGGGATAGAGTGAATGGCCGGCTTATGGACCAGGGCCAGCTTGGAAGTGTTGGGGGACTGAGCTGTCACCATGCAATAAGAACTAATTCTTATGAGGCACCAGCTATCCTCCAGACATTGTACCAAGTCCATCACACAGATTATCTTTTTATCTCATGGAGATTAGTTACTATTAGTACTCCTGGTTTACAGATGAAGAAACTGAGGCTCAGGTTCAGAGTCTTGCCAAAGGTTTTCTCTGCAGTATGAGTTAGCCAGGGCTCAAATACAAAAGATATGACGCCAGAATATGGCCTCTTAACAAATGGTGCTGGAACTTAGCAGCAGAGGTCCTATATAGGTTGTGACAGTAGCATCTTCTTCATCTGTCTTCTTCCTTCTGCTGCTTTTCTGCAGGCTTGGCCATCCTCCAGGCTCAGATGCAGATATCTGAGTGAGAGAGGAGACTTGCAGGGCCCAGACCCCTGGAACAACACAGCGGATGGAAAGGAGAAAAGCCTGCCCCATATGCCAAGATGGCTCTTCAGAGACCTTTTGCTCTAACTTAAGAGAAATCTCATTTCTCTAGTTGTCCCCAGTTGTTTCATCAAGAAAGCAAAATAATGAAACTAGAACAAGATAATAGCCAAATAGGGATCCCAAACCCACATTATAAGATAATATGTCCAAAATTTTCATTTTAATTGATATTTTTTGCCATATTAAGGGGGGAAAATAGCTAGAATAGTTGAGCATGTTGCACATGGTTTACTCTCGTCCAATGTCCAAAGGGCTTTCCAGTGAAAGAGGGGGCCAATTGGTTCCATGTGGATTCCAAAAAGGCATGAATTCCTATTAATTCTGATAGGAAGTAGGCAACCAACCCCTCAAAGCATGAAGTCTTTACCCCAGGACACAGCTACACAGAAACTAGATCCCTGGTCAAAATTTGGATGCACATTATAATTCCCTCGGAATTTCAAGAAATGCCGATACCTTGGTCTTACTCCCAGAAATTCTCAATTGATTTGGAGTAGAACCCAAGCACTGGAGTTTTAAAAACCTCCCCAGGTGGTCTCATGTTCAGCAAGGTTTGAGGACCACTGAGAGAGATCTATCTCATCAAGAATACTAGAGGCCTGGCATGGTGGCACATGCCTGTAATCCCAGTGACTCAGGAGGCTGAGACAGGAAGATTGCAAGTTCAAAGCCAGCCTCAGCAATTTAGCAAGACCCTAAATAACTTAGTGACACCCTGTCTCAAAATAAAAATTAAAAAGAGCTGGGAATGTGGCTCAGTGAACATCCCTGGGTTCAATCCCTGATTCAAAAAAAAAAAAAAAAAAAGGAAAGAGAGAGAAAAGAAAAGAAAACTAAAGATTGGTAAAGAATGGATTCTTTCTTTGAGCAATATTATTTTTAAGGTATCTTTCAATTGTAAGATCCTAAATTGGTAACTAAGGCCCTTCACAGTGTGTTTACTGTTTACAATAGCTATCAGTGTTTTTATGATAAAGGGTTACAAATTTTTACATATAGTGAAGTGACAAGCTGTATGCAACAAAAAAAAACCACCATATTGGATTCCTGTCTTTTCAAAATTACATCCAAGGAAAAGAGACTAAGAAAATGCATTATAAATTTAGAATGCTATTAATCCAACCACCTCCCCTCCCCTTTCTTCCCTGGTTGTGTATCCTGGCACACTGGAACACGAGGAGTTTCTGCAGACAAATCATAACAGTGCATGTGGATGAACTTGAATCTTGCACGTCCAATCTAATTGTTTCAAGGGAAAGATGATTTTGGACTTAGCAGAAATTTCCAGAGGTTATAAAAAAGAGAGAGAGAATGGGGTACGACTGCCAGTTGAAAAGCAAAGGAAGAGAACAGATCTATTTCAGTCTCCACTTCATATTCCTGCCATCTTGTATCATTTTTCTCACTCCTAGATCTAAGTATTATATTTGGCAGAAACCGTCAGAATCCCTTCAAACAGCAGTCTGAACTTCTTCACACAAGGGCCTGAACCAATTTCACAGAGGGACTTCCAATCACGGTTGCCAGTGGACTATTTAAAGATAGAAGTGCAGAGCTTGTACCATCATGCATACTTCCAGTGGACATGGCAAAGTTCAAGGAGTCCTGCCTAGTGAAAACAAGCTCTGGGTCTGATTTTAGCCTGCCACCATCCTGTAGTGTGCCTTTGGATAAACTATGCCCCCCCTTGGCGCTTCAATAACCTCAGGAGTTAAGCAAACACCAAAATGCTGACTCACTTCAGAGAGAGCCCCAGGAAGCTTAGAGAGACTCCCAGAGACCCTGCATTAGCTACACAAAAGAAAACCAGATTCTGTTTTCCAGATCCTGAAGTCCCCAGAACTTTTAAGTGGATACAGCTCTGTGTGTCCTGCTGCAGGCAGGACTGTGACAGACAGTAGAGTTAAAAGTGGACTTGCTCAGCATTTATCCACAGGAAAATCCTGAAGCTCAATATATAGGATACTACCAAATTTTTTTTAAAAAAAATGGAAAATGGTATTGTTTCTCTGTGAGTTAAAAGTTTAACATGTTTATATAGGGGACAAATCAATTTCAAACCGTTCATGTTGAACTTGTCAGGCAGCTTTGGCAGGAGCGGAATGGATTGGCAAACAGACAGCTTCTCATGTGAGAGATTTAGAAACCTCAAAACTCTGGGAGGTGAAGGACGCTGGGGAAAGGAAAACAGGGTCTGGGCTTGGAATTGTCCACTCATATATGAGAGGAAATCTCCCTGGCTCCTAACACTGTTGGAAGCGGCTCCTCAGGCAGGTGAAGGAGAATTGGCAAGAACAGAAGGAAATTGCTAATGAACCACCCACCAGCTTGGAAGGCAGCAAATGATGGAAAAACCAGAGAGAGGCTGGGAAAGAGGGGAAAGCAAACCAGAGTGCTCTCATCACAAAAACGGGAAAGGATCATCTCTAATTCCACTCTAAGGGAAAAAGAAAATTAATATTACAGTGGGAGATTACCATATATGGAACTAATCAGCGACAGATTATACTCCAATAGAGAATGAACTTGACTGAGTCCATTTTCCTAAAGAATAGTTTGGCACCTGACTTCTAATCTCTGTCTACTCAAGGAAGCATGTTTGTGTAATGTGCATCTCTTGTCCTTGCCTGAAAGGCTCATATCTTACTGAGCTGCTTCCCCCTTCTCTGTCCCATTTGGGCAGCTCTGGTGGCCACACGGAGATCTTGTTATGACTCCATTGCTGAGATCCTGAACATCAGCCACCTCTCTGTATCTGCTCTCACTTTCCTTCCTGCGGAGCCCATGAGATTACATAAGATCTCTGTCTCCTCTATTCTGAATCCTTCCATTTGTTCTCCAGGAGCTCTCCTGCCTTTCTTTCCTCTCTACCCTGAATCATATGTGGGAGTTCATCTGTCAACCACTCCCTCTCAGTGATCTTGTTAAGATCACCAATGATCTTGCTAAGATCTAGAACCAAGGAGTAGATTTCAGTTTTTAATCTCATTGAATTTATATCTTTTTCTTGAAGCTGTTTTTCTCCCTGGACTTTGACTCATTGTCTTCAATTCTCCTTCTGCCTTTCAAACTGCTCTTGTCTCTTACCTGATTCTGCTTACTTGCTTTCTCTCCTCTTTACTCTTCCCCAGCTATTACTTTTGCCTCCACTGGCACCTGTTTTTCGTCTTTCCTCATAAGACCATCATAGTGGCCTTTCTTTTCCAAAATGTGAATATGATTGTGTCAGCATCCTCCCTAAAATTCACTAGTGCCTCCCAGTACTTACAGAATTCAGGACCTTCTTGTCCCTGGACACAGGGCTCTTCTCAGTTCTGGCTCCTGACACTGTGTCCAGCTTAATTTCTTTCTTTCTTTCTTTTTTTTTTTTTCCTGCAGAAAGACATTCTGCACTGCAGCCTTTCTGAAATGCTTGTATAAACCCTATTAAACAAGATCAAAATATGATAAATACCAATGAGGTAATAATAAATGAGAGGGCATTCCAACAGGAGTGATTTACAGAGGGTTTGATTAATGCCTTTGCAATTCATTCTTTAATATTTAAATGATATTTTTTGTCTTCCAGAAAGGCTTTTTCCTATTTGTCTTTGCACAGGTGTCTTCTCTATTTAGAATGGTCCTTCCCACTTGGAGAATTATTCAACCTGCAAAATCAAGCCTAAATTAATGTCATATCCTCTACAAAGCTACCCTTTTCTTGCCTCTTCCCAGGCATCCCCTTCTGGCCCATCAGAATTATTGGCTCCTTCTCTTACTTATGTACAACACTGTGTAATGCATGCACTACAGCATTTGTCCAATTGCAATGAAATGTTTTATTGAAGTGTCCATTTCCCTCACTGGCTTGAGAGCTCCCTGAGGGCAGGAATAATGTTTTAATCATCTTCAAATTCCCAGAATCAGCCCACAGCTGCCACACAGCAGAATTCATGAATGCTGATTTTTTTTTTAGGTTATACCACATGAAATTGCCATTCTTATAGGTCACAAATAATCAAATGCCAGAAATCAGATGACCTGACCTATTACTGTATATATTTTTGAAGTCTTTATGCAGGCAGCACAAAGTACCTTGCAAGCAGAGTGTAATGAATCCTAGGGAAATTCCTGCAGGATGGTATGAAAAATCATGATGGTCATTTTACAGATGGTTCAGTAGGTTGGTGACAGAAGTGGCGCTGGAACCAGATCTTATTGTCATATCCCTCATCCTGGGGTCCACAGTACCAGATTCACGGACTTCTAAAGTGAGAAATAAATCCAAAGGGTCACCTTCCTGTCAGCTCCATCAACAAAACACATAAATCATCTTTAAATGGTTTTCTGTCTTTACTGTCATTTGTCCAAAGTTGAAGATGATATGCTCTCTCACAATAATAATTTAATATTTCCCTCTCACATCCTCACCAGGCAGTCCACTTCTAACTCCACTCTCTTGATGCAATATGTCAATTTCTGACTTTATGGAGATAAAGCAGTTGCCACTTGCCTGCTTATAACAATCCTCCTGCTACTTACAGCCACTTGGTCTTCCCCCAGTTTTATTTTCATTTTTTTAAAAAGCCCCTTATCCTCTAAACTCTATTCATAGGTCCTTCATATCATCTTAATTAAAACATTTCAGGATCTTCTAAAACAACATTTTCCAGTTTCATTAGAACATGTTAAAAATGGAACAGCCATTAACATCCTGCTGACCTAGTGTTCATTGGAAGGAAATCTGGGAACTAAGGTTCCAACATATTTTCACATTTCTTTTTAAATATTAATATAAAGGCTGGATGTGACATTCTAGTAAGGACATCACTTGTATCACATACAGTGCAAAGATGACCTCCTAGCCTTTGCAAGGTTATATTTCTGTTTACATATCCATTACTGCAATTATCTCTTTAACCACAGACTCATAATGCCACCTCACACTTACAACATACTTGTGCTTTTATAGTCTTGAATAATAATCAAGCTTTTATTCCCTGTCTTGCATAATAATTGGGTTCCGTTTTTATTTATGCACCACATATGCAATCTTCATTGAGTTCTATCATCCACTTTTTCCATTTTTTTCTCAGCATTTCTTCTGAAGTCCTAACCACCACCTTGGTCCTGTCACCCCTAACCTTTCACCAGTCGGAATCAGAGTTAAAGTTGTATTAGAATGCTTTCCATACACTATCTCCAAAGTTGATTTATTTCAAGATATTAAATGGCTTGGGTGGGGAGTTTCCTGATAAATTCCAGCAGGCATTTATTGCTTACTAGCTACAAGTTTAACCCTGTGCTAGGCACTGTGACAGGTTTTGAAGTTCATGGTCACCTCTTCCTGGAGAAATGGTAGTTCACATATACAAGTAGTTAACCAACAATGGGAGGCATCAAATGATCAAAAACACAAAGGAAAAATAAAAAAGTCAATGCCACACAAGTAATAAGAAGGAAGATGTCAACTTTGGACTTAAGGGGCTAGTGTTATGACTCCATGGTAGAGCACTTGCCTAGCATATGTGAGGCACTGGGTTTGATTCGCAGCACTGCATATAAATAATTAAAAATAAATAAAGTTTCACTGACAACTAAAAAATATTTTTTTAGAAATTGGACTTGATCTAGGGTATGAAATGTTAGGAGGATTTAAGTGCTGAAAAAAGAATACAGAGGTGAGGAGACGGGACACAAAAGCAATGGCAGATACAAATACAACCCATCTCCACTGACCAGATGGATAGCTGAAAAATTGGTACATAGATCAGTTATAGGCCCTTTTACTCTATCCTGTTATTAGCTGTTTACGTCTCACATTCGCACTGGTTTATGGCTATGATGACAATAGGGACATACACCCAGTGACTTTAAGAGTGCCTGCACTATAGTAGATGCTCAGTACGTATACATTTAAATTTCTTTCAAGAAAAAATGGTGTGAATGAAAGAGCACATCAATGATGGGATTCAGATTATAGAGGCTTCTGAAAGATAAATGGGTCATTTCCTCTTCCTTGATTGGGCACGACTGAAGTCTGGCATGGGAGTGACATGATAAAGTAAGTGACATTTGGGGAATTTATCCAGCAACAGCGTTAAGAAAAAATTAAAAGAGGGGAAATGGTGAATTGGAGGACAAATCTAAATGTCTAATCTTCTACTTATCACTCCATCTCTAGCCCTTCCTAACTTGTTCATGTTTCTAGAAAGATCTTTAGCGTTTTATTTCTTTCATGCCCCATTCACTCTTCAGCTCTCTCTAACTCTTCTCTGTTCCCACTTCACAGTATTTAACGACTCAGTCTCTCTGCAGTATTTAACATCAACACTGTATCCTTTAAAAATAGCTCTTTTATTACATAATTATTATAACAAATTTAAACAATACTTAAAATGCAAAGGAGCAAGTAAAATGTACCCACATCTCCTCTTCCAGAGATAATCACCATTAACATTTCGGTGAACATTCTTCCAAATGTCCCTCTAGTCTTTGCATACATGCTCAAGCAGATGGCTATGTGTATAGAGATTTACATAAATTAGATCATATAATACTCATTTCTTTTAGTGACTTGCACTGCTTTTCCTGAACAATAAATATAAATATCAATAAGCATCAGCCTGTGTAGCTTGATAGGGGTGTGGTACTCCAATGACTGCATACCATTACTTATATAATTAAGCTCCCTAGGGGATGAATGAGAAAGTTTGTCTCCACTTTTTACTATAAAGAATGCTGCAGTAAACATTTTATGCATTTATCCTTTTGCCCTTTACCATTATTTTAATATACCCACTCCTTAAAATTCAATTAAACATTATACATTCTTATGATCTCTCTTGTCCATTGGCTCTAATTTTTTCTGGTTATCCCATCTCTCAGATGGTTTCTTCCCAGACTTCATGGAATCTGTTTCCTGGTTTTCCCTATAAATATTCATGTATAACTGGGTTTTATCATTGGCTTATTCTTGCCATTCTTCTGGACTTTTTTTTTTCCCTCCAGCCAATCTCATTTGCTCTCATAATTTAGCAACCATACTAAGAAGGACAATTACAAATTCAGAATCTGTATTGCTGATATCTTTCCTGAAATTCTGATAGATACCTGCAGGTTGTTTCACCCAGACATCCTTGGTAACTCCAGGTATCCAGTATCTTTACTCCATCCCAAAACTACTCAAATTCCTGCACTATGCCATTTAGGTGTTTCTTGCAAAGGCTTGAGAATTATTTCTTATTCCATTCTCTGATCATCTAATTGTCCAATCAATCACCCAGGTCTGTGAATTCTATTTTCTAAAAAAATTCATGAAATGCCTGAAGATATTTCTCAGGAAGCTACTGGAGGACAGATTGCACCAAAACACGGGATCAAACCAAAGAAAGGAAGTTTGGTAACCAGGATACAGGGGTCCCAAGGCAGGAAAGAGGACAATTCCCAAGGACACAAGGAGAGAAGTTCCAAGGCAACAGCTGCTCAACTAGCCCAGGCCGGAACCTGTCCAAGGTGGAGCAGGATGATGGAAGACTCCTGGAGGGATGTTGCCAAAAAGAAAGCAAAACAGCTATAACAGGCAGCGGGTTTGAAAATACTGGGAGATGTTACTACAGTCTGGCAAACGTTTTGGGATGGATTCGTGGCTGCTTCCCATGGGGGGGAAAAAGTATGTGTGTGTGTGTGTATGTGTGTGTGTGTGATGTGTGTATGTGAATGTAATCATTCAAACCTACATGGTTCAACTCTGAAAAATAATTCCATGATGATAATAATGTCAACACTGAATGTTATATTGATTTAATTGAAAATATAGATATACCTATCCTGGAAAGATAGAATACAGGAAATTGTTTTTGTGTGTGTGGTCCATGGGGAAGTGGGGTTTCTAAGAAAACCTAATTCTCCTCTTCTCTTTTAGGGCTGTGAATATATAACATCTAAAAATGTAAAAACCAAGAAATAGCGTTTAAATAAAACAACCAAAAGGATAACTCAGAGAAGAGAGGAACCAGAGTGGGAAGAAAAGGACCTGGGAACTCTTATTTATCATCATATACCCAGGAATACTATTTGCCTTCTTAAAATATACACCTACATGCAAGCACTCTGATTTATTTTATTATTTTATTTTATTGATACTGGGGCTTGAATTCAGGAATGCTTTACCACTGAATATATCCACTGCCCTTTTAATTTTTATTTTGAGACAAGGTCTTGGTAAGTTGCCTAGGGCCTCACTAAGTTGCTGAGGCTGCTTTGAATTTACAATCATTCTGCCTCAGCCTCCCAAGACACTGGGATTACAGGCATGTGTCCCCATGCCTGGCACATCACTCTGATTGAAAAAGAGAGAGAGGGAGAGAGGGAGAGAGAGAGAGAGAGAGAGAGAGAGAGAGAGAGAGAGAGAGAGAGAGAGAGAGAGAGAGAGAGAGAGAGAGAGAGAGAGAGAGAAGAAGAAGGAGGAGGAGGAGGAGGAGGAGGAGGGAGAAAGGAAAGGAAAAAGGAAAGAATAAAAGTTGGAATGAATCCAAATATTTATCAATAGATAAATGGCTAAATAAAAATACTTCCTTCATATAGTAAAATGTGAGCCACCGCTTACATAATAAGGTAGATATCTGAAAAATGCAGAGTTGTCCAAAATACATTTTAAAATGGAAAAAAACAAGTAACAAACAAGAATTATCTTATTCTTTCTTCCATCTCAACATTAGTAATAAGTCATTTTTTCAGAATAAAAAAATTTAGAGAAACAGTAGCCAAATTATTAATAATTTAGGGGATGCAATTTCACTTTCCATTTTATGCATTTCATTAGTGTTTAAATTTTATATAAGGAAAATGTTTAGTTGGTTTCTGTTTATAAAGTTAAAACAAATGGATACTTCTCATCTGCACTGTGCCCCCTTCAATCTTTATTCACAACATCTCTGTCCTGAAAGCCCTTAAGTGGCTTGTTGACAGGCTCAGAACAAAGTCCAAGCTCATCAGGATGGCAACAAAGACTTTCCAGAAGGCCCTGAAATAATCCCAGGCTAGAACACAGGCAGCCCCTTCCTGGAACACACAGGGATTGCTCACAAGCCTCACTTATTCTTGTGCTTGTGCTTGCTCTGCTCCTGCCTGGGAGACCCAATCTTGCACCACCTTCTTGTGCTGGCCCTCCCTAGTGCTCTGGCTCCTGCACACCAAGGCATCACCTGCTTCAGGAAGCCTCCAGGAAGTTGCATTGAGGTGCTGCCTCCCAACCCTCAAAACAG